AGGTGTGAGTCTTCAAGGGTGCCAGCCATGCCTGAGGGAAGCCAAGCAGCAGGGCCCTGCTGGGCACAGAGGGCACATGCCATGGCACTGCAGCCCCAGGGCAGCTGTTGGGTCCTCCTTGGCCAGGTCAGTGAGCAGCTGGCGTCCGTGATAGCATCTGCTCCGGTCATGGTCAGGCTGCCCCTCCAGGGACACTGGCACCCCCAGTCGGGACACGGAGGCCAGGACAGTGGCTACCTGCGTCCAACTCCAGGCTTGAACCGCTGTGTACCTTCCTGCTCCTGCAACCGCAGCCCTCAGGCAGCAGGAGGACTCCGGGGCCTCTCCAGAGACTGCCCAGGGGACAGCCCCTACCCTGCCCTTGCCGGAGGCCTGGGTGGCTGACTTTTGCTTTCTTTTTGGCAGGGAGGAACCCACGTGGGAATCCCCTGAGCTGCACCATGGCCTGAGTGAGTCATTCCTTTCAGCCAGCAAACCTGGCAAGTCCCCAGGCCAAGGTGTCACGGCTTCCAAGCCGGTGTGGGGGTTGGGCCGGCCACTTCTCAATCAGGGTGTGCCTCTGCCTCTCAGTCCCTCTAGTATCAACCTGGCATGCCTTGCAGTCCTGTCGTCAAAATCAATGTTTTTATTATTTTTTTTAACTTTTTTTTTTTTGAGATAGAGTCTTGCTCTGTCACCCAGACTAGAGTGTAGTGGCATAATCCTGGCTCACTGCAACCTCCAACCTCCTGGCTTCAAGCGATTCTCCTGCCTCAGCTTCCCAAGTAACTGAGATTACAGGCACCGCCGCCATGCCCAGCTAATTTTTGTATTTTAGTAGAGACGGGGTTACACCATGTTCATCAGGTTGGCCAGTCAATCCACTCAACTCAGCCTCCCAAAGTGCTGGGATTACAGGCATGAGCCACTGCACCTGGCCCTTTATTTTTTTTTTTAAGTGTGTGTGCAATCTTCTGGAAACAGAGAGTCTAAAATAAACAAGGGCATTTTCATGAGAGCAGCACTGGGGCGAGTCCTCTGAGACTGGCTGGCCCTGGGCGGTTGTCCTGATCACTGCCGGCTCTTAAGGGCTGCAGGCATTTGCCAAGCTTGGGAAACCATTTCTGGACTTCGAGTTGGATTGAGGTGGCCCCAGGCTCAGCCCTTTAACACTGTCACCATCCAGGATCAGTGAGGTCGGCCACCTCTAGGTTGGAGACCACTGCCTGAAAGCTGTTAGAATGACTTTCCCATTACTCTGAAGGAAGCAGAGTATCCTAACACAGGTGAACCCCCCAAAAAACAGGTGAGCCCCTTCTTTTTTTTGCGGAGGGGACGGAGTCTTTCTCTGTCACCCAGGCTGGAGTGTAGTGGTGTGATCTCGACTCACTGCAACCTCCGCCTCCCGGGTTCAAGCGATTCTCCTGCCTCAGCCTCCCAAGTAGTTGGGATTACAGGTGCCTGCCACCACCACACCCAGCTAATTTTTATATTTTTAGCAGAGATGGCGTTTCACCATGTTGGCCAGGGTGGTCTTGAACCCCTGACCTCAGGTGATCCACCCACCTCAGATTCCCAAAGTATTGGGATTACAGGCGTGGGTCATCACGCCTGACCTTTTTCGTATTTTTTTAGTAGAGATGGGGTTTCACCGTGTTGGCCAGGCTGGTCTCAAACTCCTGACCTCAGGTGATCCACCCGCCTCAGCCTCCAAAAGTGCTGGGATTACAGGCGTGAGCCACTGTGCCTGTTTTTTCTTTTTTAAAACAGGAAGGGTCAGTCGGGCGCAGTGCTCACACCTGTAATCCTAGAACTTTGGGAAGCTGAGGTGGGCAGATTGCCCTGAGCTCAGGAGTTTGAGACCAGCCTGGGAAACATGGTGAAACCCTGTGTCTACTAAAATACAAAAAAAAGTATCTGGGCATGGTGGTGTGTGCCTGTAATCCCAGCTATCCGGAAGGCTAAGGCAGGAGAATTGCTTTAACTCGGGAGGTGGAGGTTGCAGTGAGCCCAGACTGTGCCGCTGCACTCCAGCCTGGGTGACAGAGCAAGACACCATCTCAAAAAAAAGAGAGACAGGGTCTCACTCTATTGCCCAGGCAGGAGTGACAGAGTGAGACACCATCTAAAAAAAGAAAAAAAAAAAGATGGAGTCTCACTCTATCGCCCAGGCTGCCAGGCTGGGGCGCAGTGGTGCGACCACGGCTTACCACAGCCTCCATCTCCTGGGCTCCCTCATCTTCCTGTCTCAGCCTTCCAAGTAGTCGGGACTACAGGTGTGCAGCACCACACCCGGCTGATATTTTTTCTTTTTTTGGTAAAGATGGGGCTCTGCCATGCTGATTTCAAACTCATCGGCTCAAGTGGTGCCCCCGCCTCCGCCTCCCAAAGTGCTGGGATTACAGGCAGGAGCTACCACGTTAACCCTTTTTGCATCCCAAGCTGGCTGCTGCAGTCTCAGGCAGCTGTGAGCCTCCCGGGTGCTGCTGGGAGGAGAAGCCTCCTTGTATCTGAGAGCTCAGTCAGTTACTGGACTTGGATGCAACCCCACTGAACCTGCAGGAGCCGACTTGGATCATTTCCACGGCTGCTTGCGGCAAACTCAGGGGTGATGATGTTGATGGAATCCGATGGCTTCCTGAGTCAAGTCCTTGCCATCCCAGGTATGTGGGTTTGGGGGAGAATTCCAACTGCAAACCAAGTAACCTGTATGCAATGTGGCATTGGCGCCTGGGGACACAGCGTGGACTGCGTAAATTACGTAACTCCAAAGCCTGCCGTTTCGCAGTGCATTACATCCTTAAGCAGTCCCTGTGGTCTCAGGGTCTGAATGCCTGGAGTAGGCTTAACTCCTGCCTCAGCCTCCCAAATAGTTGGAATTACAAGCACCCACCACGTCCAACTAATTTACATATACATCTCTATATATACTTTTTTATTTTTTGAGACAGAGTCTTGCTCTGTTGCCAGGCCCCAGGCTGGAGAGCAGTGGCACGATCTTGGCTCACTGCAACCTCTGCCTCCTGGGTTCAAGCAATTCTCCTGCCTCAACCTCCTGAGTAGCTGGGACCACAGGTGCGCGCCACCACACCCAGCTAATTTTTGTATTTTTTAGTAGAGACGGGGTTTCACCATGGTCTCGATCTCTTGACCTCGTGATCTGCACACCTTGGCCTCCCAAAGTGCTGGGATTACAGGCGTGAGCCACCTAATTTTTATATTTTTAGTAGAGATGGGGTTTCACCAGGTTGGCCAGGGCGGTCTTGAACCCCTGACCTCAGGTGATCCACCTGCCTTGGTCTCCCAAAGTGTTGGGGTGACAGGCGTGAGCCACCTCGCTCGGCCTTTTTTCTTTCTGTCCCGTGGGGATAGCACCAGCCACACAAGGGTGCCCCTTGTTCACGGTGAATGTTTCCTTTTCTGCAAAGCGGGGAGAAAGGTCTCCATTTCACCAAACGCTGGCTGGAGAGGAAGTGGTACGTTCAGTAGCAGCCCATACACCAGCAGAGAGAACCTGCTGCAGCCCCCTTCTCCTGGGCAGATGACAGCACTGCCTCCCCCATGAAGCCCACAGGACTCCCAGGGCAACCACTGTTTTCGTGGGCAAGGACACTGTTTTCATTTGTGTCTGGAGGCCACAGGTTGTGTTTTCATTTTAGGTCAGGAGTACAAAACCAGCATGGCCAACATGGTGAAACCCTGTCTCTACTAAATAGGTGAGCGTGGTGATGCGTGCCTGTAAATCCCAGCTACTCAGGAGGTTGTGACACGAGAATCACTTGAACCCGGGAAGTGGAAGTTGCAGTGAGCCGAGACTGTGACAGTACACTCCAGCCTGGCGACAGAGTGAGACTCAGTCTCAAAATATTAACAATGAGGCCGGGCGCAGTGGCTGACGCCTGTAATCCTGCACTTTGGAAGGCCGAGGCGGACGGATCACGAGGTCAGGAGATGGAGACCAGCCTGGCCAACATGGTGGAACCAAGCCTGCACTAAAAATACAAAAATTAGCCAGGCGTGGTGGCGCGTGCCTGCAGTCCCAGGTAGCCGGGAGGCTGAGGCAGGAGAATCCCCTGAACCCGGGAGGCGGAGGTTGCAGGGAGCCTAGACCGCGCCACTGCCCTCCAGGCCGGCGACAGAGCGACTCTGTCTCGAAATAAAAATAAACCAAACGTGCACAACCCAGTGGGTGAGCACGCTGGCCACCTCGGGCCACCGTCGCCACTGCCTGGTGGCAGAACATTCCTCACCCCAACAGGAGACCGCAGATCCTCAGTACCTTACATAAGCGTGCAGTATTCTTTTGGTCCTGTTTCTCATAAATGTCACCCAAACGGACGCCCCGCTCCGCGCCCGGCACCGGGGGAGGCAGAGGGACCCGCAGGTGTCCGGCAGGTGCGGCCGCGCCGCCAGCGCCCCGCGTCCCGCGACGCTCGCCTCGTGGGAACCGGTCCCGCCGGGCCCGGGCTCCCGGCTGTCCTCTCGGGTCTGCGGCAGGGGTTTCCGCGCGGGGCCGCGGGGGTAGGAAGCGAGGGCCTCGCCGCACCCGGGGAAGGGACCCGTGTGGACCCCATTAGCGCGGCCCCTGCGGCGCAGCCCCGCACCAGCGCCTCATCTTCAGCCCAAAGCAGAGAGCGGCTTAAGCACACACGCCGTCTCAGCGCGGACCAATCGGAGCCCGCTGCGGTTCCTGAGGGCTCGCTGGTTGGCTGCCGCCTCAGTCCGTCAGGTGCGGTCGGGGGCGGGGCGGGATCTGGCCAATGGCGCTCTCTATGGCTTCCTATGGTTGGCTCCCGTGTCCGTCCATCAGCGGAGCAGCGGCGTCGGGGGCGGAGGCGGGGCGGGCCTTCGGTTCCGGGCGCGCGGCGACCGTTGGGTGAGGCGAGCGCGGGGTCGGGCGCGGACGCGGGCGCGGGGTCGGGTGCGGGGCCGGGCGCGGGCGCGGGCGCGGGCACAGCTGCCTCTCAGGAAGACCCCGGGCGGGAGCGGGAGCGGGGGTGGGGGCGGGAGAGGCGGCGGGACGGGGGGCGGGGCCGGCCCGAGGGGATTTCTCTGAGCCGCTGGGCCGGAAACCGAGTCCAAGCGGGGCCGGCGCGGGAAAGTTCGCGAACGCGCGCGGTCGTCCTCGGAGCGGCGCGGGGGACGGCCGGGGGTCTCGCGCGGGGTCGTGGGTCCCAGCCTCGCCCGCGGCCCGTGGGCGGCCCACCCGACCCGGCCCCGCCCCTGTCGCCCCGTCCACGCGCAGGTGTGGGCCCCCGGAGTCCCCGAGGCCCCGCGCCCCCGCTCGGCTGCGTGCCCGCGCGGGTCGGGGCGCCTCCGACCCCAGAGGCCGCCCGCGCCCCCCGGCCCGGGTCGGGGAAAACCCGTGGGGCCGGGGGCGGAGCCGGCCCCCACTGCCTTCCTGCTGAGCGGCTGGGGAGCCCCGGCTGAGCCCGCGTGGAGTCCCCTCTTGGCTGCGGGGAGGGCGGGGGGCAGCCGGGAGCCGGTTCCCGGGTGGGCCGCGGCGGACGGGCCCGGGCCTGGCAGTGGCAGGGGTGTGTGTGCGGAAGGCTGAGCCGGCAAGGAGCGGAGCTGGAACGTGCAAGGATCCGGGCGCTTGCGAGGCCGAGATGAGGGAGTCACAGCACCGTGGGCTCTCGGGAGGCGGCCACGTGCAGCCTGGGGTCGGGAACGGTCAGGGCCGGAGCTGGGTGTCTGCAGTTGTCATTGTGAGGTCCTGAGGGCTGAGGGTCCGGGCGGAAGAGCGCCAAGCCCGCACTCGGGGTGTGGGGCCGAAGAGCTGTCTGACAGCTACTGAAGATGGGGCTCGGAGGAGGAGGGAGTCAAGGGAAACAGACTGAGAACGGACCCTGCTTTGTGGCCGTGTGATCTTGAAGGGACAGAATTGCTGCACGGTAACAGTCTCTCTCCCTGTTAACGGCCCTGGTTTTTAATAAGAGAAACTAAATGTATTGTGCATGAACACTTCTAAGATTCAAGCGCTCCTCTCCTGCCACACTTGTGTTTGATGCTTTTGTATAAACAATTGTTAGGAGTTTAGGTTGTTACCAAGCTTCTATTTGGTATTACGTTCAGCCTGAAAAAGATGGGGTTACGTCTAAAATTATAATTTTGTTTGTTTATTTTGAGACAGGATTTTACTCCTGTTGCCCAGGCTGGAGTGCAGTGGCACGATCTCGGCTCACTGCAATCTCTGCCTCCCAGGTTCAAGCAATTCTCCTGCCTCAGCTTCCCAAGGAGCTGGGACTACAGGTGCATGGCACCACGCCCGGCTAATTTTTGTATTTTTTTAGATATTTATTTATTTATTTAGAGATGGAGTCTCGCCTATCACTATGCCTGCCTAATTTTTTTGTATCTTTAGTACAGACAGGGTTTCACCATGTTGGCCAGACTGATCTCAAACTCCTGACCTCGTGATCCACCTGCCTCAGCCTCCCAAAGTGCTAGGATTATAGACGTGAGCCACCTCGCCTGGCCCAATTCTTGTATTTTTAGTAGAGACGGGGTTTCACCTTGTTGGTCAGGATGGTCTCAATCTCTTGACCTCATGACCCACCTGTCTCGGCCTCCTAAAGTGCCGGAATTATAGGTGTGAGCCGCGGCACCTGGCCTCAAGTTTTTTTCCAAAGTGGGAACAGATTGGGATAGTGTCAGAAGTGTGGTAAAGTTTTGGTGTAGCACTTTTGAGTCTTTGTGATGGTTTTCGTTAGTCCTTAAAATATATTTATAAATGAGATTCAGATAAAATACTTACGGAGTCTCTAAGCACAAAGAACCCCAGGGTGCACTGTGGTCGTCAGTGGGACCTCAGGGGCCTTGGACCGGGCTCCCTGCTGTGGCCTGGCTTTCTGGGATTGTGTGTTCATCTGGAAATGGGAATAATGATCCCTGCCCCTCCCAGTGTGTCAGGACAATATGATGGTCATGTGAGGCCATGCCTGTGAGGAGTGTCTGTGGCGGAGGAGAGGGAGGCGTGGGGGTGGCGGTTGGAGGCCACACTCTGCGTTGGGAACCTGGGCTCACTGCAACCTCCTCCTCCTAGGCTTGAGTGATCCTCCCACCTCAGCCTTCTGAGTAGTTGGGACCACAGGTGCACACCATCACACCTGGCTAATTTTTTCTATTTTTCTATTTGTTTTGTTTTGTTGTGTGTGTTTTTCGGACGGGCTTGCTCTGTTGCCCAGGCTGGAGTGCACTGGCACAATCTCGGCTCACTGCAACCTCCGCCTCCCAGGTTCAAGCGATTCTCCTGCCTCAGCCTCCCAAGTAGCTAGGATTACAGGCTTACACCACAATGCCTGGCTAATTTTTTGTACTTTTAGTAGAGACAGGGTCTCACCATGTTGGCCAGCCTGGTCTTGAACTCCTGACCTCAGGTGATCCACCGCCTGAGCCTACCAAAGTGCTGGGATTACAGGTGTGAGCCACCTCACCCAGCTGCTAGTGGCCCTTTTTCAGGGTTTACAGGTAAACTTTCCTTCCACTTTTTGAGATCTGGGGACATTACATGGAGGTTGGAGGCAAGTCTTGGAAGGCTGCTGGGCCTTGTCCTGGGCGCAGGTTTCTTAGGCCCACCTCAGGGTTGCCATGGGGCAGGTGTGCACATCCACAGGGACCAGCACTGGGGGCTCTTCCAAGCAGGGCAAAGATGTTCAGGGTTCAGTGCATTCAGGAAACAGAGGGGAGCAGGGGGATCGGGGGCATCCTGAGGACAGGGTGGGGACAAGGCCAGATGGGGCTAAACCCCATGTCTGGGTTGCCTTCTCAGTGCTCAGGATGCTCTTGGGGAGCCCTCAGTGAGGGGTGCCCTTCTGATGTGAGTGTGAAGGAGGAGCAGAGGGCAGGGTGGAGGCCAGAGAAGGGGCCAGTGCTGGCAGGATGGAGGGCAGAGCCAGTGGGATTGGCCTTTGATTGGACAAGGAATGGCTCAGAAAGCATTCTGGATAGCTGGGGCATGGAGGTGCACTCACCTGTGGTCCCAGCCACTTGAGAGACTGGCGGGAGGATCACTTGAGCCCAGGAATTCCAGCCTGTAGTGCGTGGCTATCATGCCTGTGAATGGTTAGTGTATTCCACCTAGGGCAACATAGGGAGCCGCTGTTTATAAAGAAAAATGAAAGCCTCCCACGTTTGTAGGTGACAAACCCTGGTGAATGGCGGAGAAGAGAGAGAGCTGGGAAGAGGAAGCTCTTTCTGAGGCAGCAACCTGAGCAGAGGTGAGAGGATGAGGGAAGGGCCTCAGCAGTGTTCTGGCCTCTTGGGTCTTTCTGAGACTTGCCAGTCCTGGGCCTTCTGGGAAAGGTCAGCCACTCTCAGGCGAGCAGTCCTGGGACCAGGTGACCCACGCTGCTATGTCAGGGCTACATTGTGGGACTTTGTTTTCTTCAGTGCTGTGGCCACAGCCTTCCTGCTGCCGCTCTGGTTGGTGGATGGGTCCATGCTTCTTCAAGGATGCAAGTGACCCGAAGCTTCCAGGACACTCTTTTGGCAACTTGGGCCTTGGAAAGACAGCAGAGCAGGTGTGCGGTGTTAGGGCCTGTGGCTGAGCTGACTTGCTGGAAGCATCAGTCAGGCTCCAGCAGCACAGCAAGATTCCCATCTTGGGGCTGGTGTCCAGGCACAGAGCAGTCAGCATCCACTGTCCTTCCTGGAGGAAAAAGGGAAAATAATGTTTGTTTTTTAAATGTTGGAATGGGCTGGGCACAGTGGCTCCCATCTGGAATCCCAGCACATTGGGAGGCTGAGGTGGGTGAGTCACGTGAAGCCAGGAGTTCAAGACCAGCCTGGCCAACATGGTGAAACCTCATCTCTACTGAAAATATGAAAATTAGGCTGGGCACGGTGGCTGAGCACTTTGGGAGGCCAAGGTGGGCAGATTATGAGGTCAAGAGATTGAGACCATCCTGACCAACATGGCGAAACCCCATCTCTACTAAAAATACAAAAAAATTAGCTGGGTGTGGTGTCACACACCTGTGTCCCAGCTGCTTGGGAGGCTGAGGCAGGAGAATTACTTGAACCCAGGAGGCGGAGGTTACAGTGAGCAGAGATCATGCTACTGCACTCCAACCTGGCAACAGAGTGAGACTCCGTCTCAAAAGAAAAATACGTATATATACAAAAAATTAGCCAGGCATAGTGGCTTGCACCTGTAGTCCCAGCTGCTCGAGAGGCTGAGGCAGAAGAGTTGCTTGAACCCAGGAGGCAGAGGTTGCAGTGAGCCAAGATTGTGCCACTGCACTCCAGCCTGGGCGATAGAGCGTGAGACTGTCTCAGGAGAAAAAAAAAAGTTGGAATGGTTCTGAGAAGTGGTTCCTTAGGTAAATAAAATGCCGCCCCAAGAGTTGCCCTCTGGGGAGAGGACTCTGGAGGCCACCCTTCACCCTCAGGCCAGGCTTGCCTGTCAGTCCCTGCCTCGCTGGGCTGCCTCCTGGGGATCGCAGCCCATACCATGCCCTATTCTTTCTCCTCCCCATTCCCAGGTTGCCCTGCCTGGAGTCCACCTTCTAGGAGTGAGCCCCGGCCATGTGGGCGGCACTGGAAGCCCCTCCCTGGCTATCCCCAGTTCCCTGAAATAAGACTGCTTTCTTGCTACAGAGATGCCCCCAGTCCCTCCTTATCTCAAGGGGCCCTCAGGGGCTGGGACTGGGGGCAGAGCATACTTAGAGCTGGCTTGGCCTACAGGCTGCTGTTTTAAGGAGCGTAGCAGCTGAGCACCAGGTGAGGCATGTTCCGTGGGGACACAGGAAGGCTCTGGAGGCTGCTGCCAGGGAGCAGCGGGTTCCAGGTCCTCATGCCCAGCCTGGTTCCCCACGTGAGGCTGTGGACACGCATGTGTCTGCCCCTCATCTGCAGCCCCCTGTTGCTACCTGGGGAGCCTGCATGGTTGCCGTGGCCTGGTTCCGGGTGCAAGACTGTGGACATGCCTGATCTGCCCTGCATCTGCAAACTCCCGTTGCCACCTGGGGAGCCTCTGTGGTTGCCGTGGTCTCTGCCTCTCTTGTCCTCAGCCCCCTGTTGCTACCTGTGGAGCCTCCAGGGTTGCTGTCCAGTGTGTTCTCATGGGCGTCTGGGCTGTGGAAGTTCTCTGTGCTTTGTGGGGCCAGCACGTGCACTAACTTCACTTCAGCCAGAAGCTTTGAGGTCGTTGGACTCAAGCTTTTCCCAAACTGCTTACAGGGCTGGGGGGCACTGAATGCCTGTCTCCCCTTTTTCCCATGAAAATGCTGACAGGAGAAAGTGTGATTTGGAGATTTGCAGTCGGTTGTCCTTGCTCACCCCCCTGCCCTTCTAAAGGACTCTGGCTTTCCCTGAGAAGCCTCTTGGGTGGTGTTGATGCTGGGAGCCGAGTGAGGCCTCGAGGAAACCCTTGGCGTGCTGGGTGACTGCTTGCCCTCCCTGTCTGCCCACTCTGCCCGGCGAGTGGGTCTAGACATCCTCATTGTTCCCTTCCTCTGTCCTCAGCATCAGCCCAGCCCTGAGCAGGCCCCTCCCCACATAATGGGAGCTCTGTGATGGCCGGGGAGAGAGGCCGCCTGAGGGTGCTCTGTAAAGGGAGTGGAGCCCCGTGGAGCGTCCGCCCAGGAGGCTGAGGGAGGAAGAACCCCAGTTAGTCCAGGAGGAAGGGTGGGGTGCAGGGGTGGCTGGACAGTGCTCAGAGAGGCAGGGAGAGTGGGCACGGCACAGAGTGGCCTTGGTGCTTAGAGAGGCAGAGGAGAGGGCCTGGTCCAGGGTGCTGAGGCTGTCCGTGGCTGCCTTGGTGGGGCTTACTGAGTTCCAGTGGACAGCAAGCGCCAGGGCAGGGCTAGCACACGGAGGACTCTGAAGGCCATGTGTGTCGTCTGCAGTGTGGAAACGTGGTAGCCAGAGGGAGCTTGCACCGCCAGCCCCAGGTGGCTGCACTCCTGCCCCAGGGTTGCTCTGCTGGCATGGCTCTCTCCCAAGTGTCTCTGGGGCCTGAGTGCTGGCAGGTGGGCGTCTGCTGCCCCGTGGGTTTGGTGAGATACGCTTTCGAAGGCGTCCACCACTCTAGAACATGCTTATTACATGGGGAGACTGAGAGCCTAGTCCTGAGAACCTCTGATGGTTAGTGTTAACAGGAGTACAGCCTGTGCCCTAGCTGGGGATGAGGGGTGAGTGGCAGGAAGCCCGTGTGTCCGTGCCTCTTTGAGCTGTGGGCTGGGTATGTGGACGCCAGCTGTGTGGTCCTCACCCTCACTGAGCCCTGGTTTCCACGCTAGCAGCGGGAGATGGGACTTGAGGGTCTCCGCGGCTCCCCGAAGCTCTGCCTCTCAGTCTTGTCGGCAGGTCAGCAGGGACCTGACCCCTCACCCTTGCCTGCCACTGATCGGTTTGGTGTTCTCTCAGGAGGACTGTTCTGGAATTGAGGTGTAGCATGCTGTGTGTTCTTCCTCAGGGCTTTGTCATTCGTGGGGGTCACAGCTCTCATGGCTGCTGCTAGCGTGACCCCCCCTGGCTCCCTGGAGTTGCTGCAGCCTGGCTTCTCCAAGACCCTCCTGGGGACCAAACTGGAAGCCAAGTACCTGTGTTCCGCCTGCAGAAACGTCCTGCGAAGGCCCGTCCAGGCGCAGTGTGGCCACCGCTACTGCTCCTTCTGCCTGGCCAGCATCCTCAGGTGCGTGGGCCTGCAGGCTGGGAGGAGGGGCTGGCAGGCAGGGCTGGCTTTTGAGCCACACTGCCCAGCCTGGTAGCTCCCAGCACAGCCGGGTTCGGCTTAGATGTGCTGCAGGTGTCAATACTGCCTGGCTTTCGGAGGTTTAACGCAAAGAATGTAAAGTTAATAATTTTAAAATAGCAATTTGAAATACTGTTTTGGATACATGGGGTTAAATATAATAATCATTACAGTTAATTTTACCTTTTTATTATTTTTAATGTGAGTACCAGAAAGTTGAAAGCTCCGTCTCCTGCTCCCTTTTCGGCTGCTCTAGGCAGCTAAGACAGCCAGCCGCCTTTCTGGCAGCTGAGCGGTCTGAGAGGCATGGCCTCTGTGGGTCAGCACGGCTGTGCAACACCTGAGCTCCTTTGGCAGGTGTCCTTGGCTTTTTAGGAAGGCCTTGTTCACACACAAGGAATGATTTGGCCTCAGGAGGTCGTGCCCTGAGTACTCCTGTCAGGATTCAGATCTTCTCATCTACTTTAAATCTTTAAAAACATTGTACTGTGAATCCTGGGGGTTAAAAAAATGTACGGTTAACATATGCTTGCTGTTGGTTTCATTAAAGATGAGAAGGTTTAAAGAAACCATGGTGTGATGTTAGGTTTTTGAACTGAAGCAAACGGTGTTCATTTATGTTTTGCATTACATTTCATAGTGGGATTTTCTTTACTTCCCTACTAGCTCTGGGCCTCAGAACTGTGCCGCGTGTGTTCACGAGGGCATATATGAAGAAGGCATTTCTATTTTAGAAAGCAGTTCGGTAAGTAAAATAAATTGAAGCTAAAAATGTTGAACAGAAAACGTCTTGGAATTTGCTTTAACAACATGGGTGGGGCTGGGCACAGTGGCTCACAACTAATGCCAGCACTTTGGGACACCCAGGCAGGAGGATCGCTTGAGTCCAGGAGTTTGAGACCAGCCTGGGCAACATAGTGAGACCTTGTCTCTGTAAAAAATTAAAAACTTAGCAGGGACTGGGCACAGTACCTCATACTTGTAATCCCAGCACTTTGGGGGACTTTGGGGGACCGAGGTAGGTGGATCACCTGAGGTCAGGAGTTTGAGACCAGCCTGACCCACATGGTGTAACCCCGTCACTACTAAACATACAAAAATTCTCCGGGTGTGGTGGTGTGCACCTGTAGTCCCAGCTACTTGGGAGGCTGAGGCAGGAGGATTGCTTGAACCTGGGAGGTGGAGGTTGCAGTGAGTCAAGATCATGCCACTGTACTCCAGCCTAGACAACAGAGCAATACTCCATCTCAAACAAAACAAAACAAAAATCCCAACAACAACAACAAAAACTTAGCTGGGTGTAGTTGGCACATGCCTTTAGTCCCAGCTACTTGGGAGACTGAGGTGGGAGGATTGCTTAAGCCCAGGAGATAGAGGCTGCAGTTGGCTGTGATCACACCACTCCACTTACAGCCTGGGCAACAGAGCAAGACCCTGTCTCTGGAAAGCAAAACAAAACACAACACCAGTGGCCAAGTGAAGCTTTAGAAGCCAGAAGTTGGCTGGTCATGGTGGCTATAATTCCAGCACTTTGGAAGGTCGAGGCAGGTGCCTGAGCTCAGGAGTTCGAGACAAGCCTGGGCAACATGGCGAAACCCCGTGTCTACCAGAGATACAAAAACTTAGCCAGGCATGGTGGCGCATGCCTATAGTCCCAGCCACTTGGGAGGCTGAGGTGGGAGGATTGGTTGAGCCTGGGGGATGGAGGTTGCAGTGAGCCAAGATCATGCCACTGCACTCCAGCCTGGACTACAAGGCGAGACCCTTTCTCAAAAAAAAAAAAAACAAGGCAGCCAGAAGTTGTCCCTTCACAGACTTGGGAAGTTTAGGGCTTGGAAACTTTGGCATCAAGGTGAGTCAGTCTTGAGAGTCATCCTCGCTCCTAGGGTGGCCCAGGAAGGTGGCATGACACGGAGTTGGTTTGGTTTGGTCTGGGTGCGTGCCCTGTGCTCCTCGGTTTCAGCGGGGAGGCCGGGTGCAGGTTTAACCTGAGGCTGTTCCTCTCCCTAGGCCTTCCCGGATAATGCTGCCCGAAGGGAGGTGGAGAGCCTTCCGGCCGTCTGTCCCAGTGATGGGTGCACCTGGAAGGGAACCCTGAAGGAGTACGAGGTAAAGTTGGGCGGCTCTTCAGATCCTGCATGTTGCATGGTGACAGAAGCCCCAGCAGTCAGGGTCGTCCCCACCCTGAAGCAGTCATGACCTTGGCCTGTACTTTCCTTGTGCTGGGGCTGAAGCCTGTCTGATGTCTGTGGAGGAAAAGACAGGGCTGCTCCTTAGAGTATGTCCACTTAGAAACTCACGTAGTGGGCAGGGCACAGTGGCTCCCGCCTGTAATCCTAGCACTTTGGGAGGCGGAGGCAGGCAGATCACAAGGTCAAGAGATTGAGGCCATCCTGGCCAACATGGTGAAACCCCGTCTCTACTAAAAATACAAAAATTAGCTGGGTGTGGTGGCGTGCACCTGTAGTCCCAGCTACTTGGGAGGCTGAGGCAGGGGAGTTGCGTGAGCCGAGATTGGGCCATTGCATTCCAGCCTGGCGCCTGGCGACAAAGCGAGACTTTGTCTCAAAAAAAAAAAAAGAAAAGGAGCACACGTAGTGCAGAGCGCAGACCTGCACCGGGAGCTGGAGCTGTGGCCTCCGGTGAGGTGCTAGCCCTCTCTGTGAGCTGGGGCTGTGTGACCTCCGGTGAAGTGCTAGCCCTCTCTGTGAGCTGGGGCTGTGTGGCCTCCGGTGAGGTGCTAGCCCTCTCTGTGAGCTGGGCTGTGTGGCCTCCGGTGAGGTGCTAGCCCTCTCTGTGCCTCAGGTTTCTTGTCTGTTGGTCGTTGGTGGCTGTGAGGGTGGGAGGTGCCTGTGTGAGCCCCGGGAAGGCGTGGTTATCGAAGCAGTAGCATTTCTCGGGAATGGCGGGAAGATCGCCGTGTGCTGGGACTGCAGCTGTCGAGTTTGGTGGGAGTTTTTGTTGTGTCTCTTGTGTTCACAAAGGATTTCTTATTTTGAATTGTGTTGACACTGGAGATAGCAGAAATAATGGACACATTTGTCCTGTGGTCACAGAAAGGCTTTCAGCCAGCAACATAGGCAGCGGCCCGCACGTCACTTGGAAATGGACACATTTGTCCCTGTGTGCCAGGTGAGGTGGGCTCGCCTTCCTGCATGGGCGTATTGGGAGCTTCAGTGCAAGTCTCCTGTCAACTTTTCGGCGTTTGGAAACTTAGCCTGTAGTGCAGAGGCCGGGAGGTGCTGAGAGAGCTAATCCAGGCCTCTGCAGCTCACCAAGCTGTGCAGTCTTTCTCATGGTAATGAGTGCCCTTTAAGAAGTTTCCCTCTGGGATCCTTGCGCGGGATTCCGGGACTAACGCTGTCCACAGAGCCCACAGGTAGAGGCAGCCCAGTGTCCACGGACGAATGGGTAAATATGGAGAGTGTGGTCTCTGCACTTGGTGGCATGTGATTCAGCCTTAGGAAGGAAGAAGATTCGGACACGTGCTCCCCAGAGGTGAACTCTGAGGGCATTATACTGAGTAGAATGAGCCAGCCACCAAAGGACAAATCCTCTATGATTCCACTTACATGACATCCTGGGAGTGGTCACATCCGTGGAGACAGGAAGTAGAATGGAGGGGCAAGGGTCACTGCTCCGTGAGTACTGAGTTGTAATCGGAATCTCAGAGAGGAGGCACCTTGATGCCATCCAGTCCGGCTCCAGGTTGGTGAGGCTGTGAGGGCTGTTTGCTTGGAACCCTGGCTGTCTGCACTTAGGAGAGCTTCCTGCCCAGGCAGGGGCTGGGATGTCCTACTCAGCCGGACCTTGGGGTGTGGTCTGTTGGGTTTGGAGTTGGACCTGCATTATTGTGGGTTTCTCCTTTCCCACTCCCTGCCCCACAGGCCTGGCCACACCTCCCTCGGTCTTTTGACATCCTCTGCTTTGTGGTCTTTGGGCTCCAGGTTTCATTTTTTCAGAACCTCCCAGCTGCATCTGGGGTGGACAAGGGGATGTGCTTTCCTCCCTAGCACAGGGACTGAGTCCTGGACGCGGAGCTGGAGCTCCAGGGCACTGCCCCGGAGTGAGACCCCAACCTCTGTGGGCCGAGATGTCAGACCGCCCGCAACCACAAAGCACAACACCAGACTTTCTGGGCTCCCGTGCGGGTCTGCTGCCCGAGCGGCTGCAGTGCGTAATGTCATCCGTCCCAGCCCTGCTCTTCTAAAGAGACCTGTGGCTTGGTCATCACCCAGTGCTGTTTGCAAGGGGGATGGCTTCCTGGGTAGGTTGCCCAGGGTCAGGGTCTCCCTGGGAGTGTGAGGGCACCAGCTGGGTGCAGGGAGCAGGGGTGCTGTGTGCCATACTACCCTCTGAGAGGACTGAGAGGCACCTGGGAGACATGTTGGGTCACAGTTCCCAGCCCCGCACTAAACCCCGAGTCCTCTGGGGTCCCTGCCACCTCCAGGCTCATGGGATGCAACATTGACAATTATGAAGGCGTCCGGCTGAGGGCCAGGAACCATAGCCAGCCCCCGGGCTGGGGCGCCACGCGGCCCGGCAGGCACGCAGGGTGGAAAGTCCCTGGCTGCACCCTTTGAGAGCTCTGGAAAGTCCCTGAGAGGAGTCGGGTTTGGTCATGTGGGAGGGGCGGGCACAGCTCTGGAATAGCTTGGCTGTGGCCTTTGATTTTATTGATAAAACCTCTCACTGGCTGTAAGCGTCACACACATGGGGGCGGAAATGAAACCCTCTCTGCAGAGTGGGGAGCCGCCTGTCCTTGCTCTCAGCATGCTCAGAGTGCGCTGCTGGTTGGGGCGTTGTTGGGAATGCAGTGCTGAGGCTAAGGCGGCTTTTTTTCCTTGGTGGTCTGAATTTTTTTGGAAAAGTGGAAAATCCTGCTTAGCTTTTGATTATGTTTTTCCTTTGCAATAACACCTTTCTAGGAACTGAATGATTTTATTCATTTTTTATTTTTTTATTTTATTTTTTTTTTGAGACGGAGTTTCACTCTTGTTACCCAGGCTGGAGTGCAATGGCGCGATCTCGGTTCACCGCAACCTCCGCCTCCTGGGTTCAGGCAATTCTCCTGCCTCAGCCTCCTGAGTAGCTGGGATTACAGGCACGCGCCACCATGCCCAGCTAATTTTTTTTGTATTTTTAGTAGAGACAGGGTTTCACCATGTTGACCAGATGGTCTCGATCTCCTGACCTCGTGATCCACCCGCCTCGGCCTCCCAAAGTGCTGGGATTACAGGCTTGAGCTACCGCGCCTGGCCCTCATTTTTTATTTTTATTATTATTTTTTTTGAGACGGGGTCTTGCTCTGTTGTGCAGGCTAGAGTGCAGTGGTGTGATCTCAGCTCACTGTAACCTCGACCTGCCGGGTTCAGGCAGTTCTTCTGCTTCAGCCTGTAGGCACCTGCGACCATACCTGGCTAATTTTTTGTATATCTGGTAGAGATGGGGTTTTACCATGTTTGCCATGCTGGTCTTGAACTCCTGACCTCAAGGGATCCACCTGCCTTGGCCTCCTGAAGTGCTTGGATTCCTGGCATAAGCCACTGCACCTGGGCAAATTGAATGATATTAAAACTTCAGATAAAAAATGTTTATTGGGTACCTGCCTAGTGCTAATAGCAGAGCTGAATTCCCCAGCAGGCCCGGAGCTGCTTGTTCTGGCAGCTGGGTGGTGGAGGGGCAGGGAGACTTTCCAGAGAGGACACAGGCCGGCCACACGAGCAGTGGAAAGGCCAGGAAAGGCTGTATGCTCAGCCTCGTGGACGTTCTAGTGAAATTCAAAGGTATGATGATTGTATTTGTGACAGACATGTAGTTTGAATTCTGGCTGAATAAACTTGAGTTCTTTGCACTGTGTCCGCCGTGGGTGGGGAGAAGACTGACACAAATAGTGGTAGGCGTATCAGCTGTAGCACAGCCCGGGGTCCCACGGGCAAGTTCAGGTGTGAGTGCCAAGAGGAAGGTTTTATTTCTGACGTGTCCGGCACGCAGCACATGTGAGCAGTGAGCAGGAGCCTGGGCTCAGGCAATTCTCCTGCCTCAGCCTCCTGAGTATCTGGGATTACAGGCACCCGCCATCACACCTGCCTAATTTTTTTTTTTTGTATTTTTAGTAGAGACAGGGTTTTAGTCTGTTGGCCACTCTGGTCTCAAACTCCTGGCCTCGTAATCCACCTGCCTTAGCCTCTCAGAGTGCTGGGATTACAGGCGTGAGCCACTGCACCCGGCGAGTTATTTTTTTTTAGAGACAGAGTCTTTCTCTGTCACCCAGGCTGGAGTGTAGTGGTGAGATCATATAGCTCACTGCAGCCTCGAACTCCTGGGGTCAAGTGATCCTCCCACCTTGACCTCCTAAAGTGCTGGGATTACAGGTGGGAACCCATTGTGCCCAACCATTTTATTATGTTTTAAACAGTCTTTTAATTAAATCTAAGGACATTGACTATTTGTGCTTTAGTTTTTATGTTTCATAAACCATAATAGTTGCTGAGGCTGCTCTTGAATTCAACTTGATGGTGGTTTGCTACGTGCTGAGTATGGCCGAGGGCTCAGTCCCTGCCCGTCCGTGGGCAGCAGAGGGCACGGCACTGTCGTGTTCAGGGAGGTTGGTTCCTTTAGCAGGCTCAGCTCAGGCCAGTGCCGCTGGAGGTCTTGGAGGGCTGGGACCATGTGCCCTGGGGCGCCTCTGAGGAGTAGCTGCTGTGCCTATGTGAAGGTTCGGGAGGAGCATTCCCGGGCGAGGTTGAGTGAAAGCCAGCCCAAGTGCCTGTGCTGTCCAGAGCAGGGTCTCTCCTCTCGAGGGAAGTAGCTTTGGCCTTTCCTGAGTCACCTCAGGCCCCTGAGCTTCAGCCAGCTTTCCACGGAGCTGCTGACCCCCACTCCCCACCCTGTGAAGGGCCCTGCAGCCAGGTCCTCTGCTGCCCCAGATCCCACCGCGGCCTCTCGGGAACCTTCCTCTCCCATGCAGTTGTCTTCCACTCTCTGGGCTGTGCCATCCATGCGCAGAATATGCTCTAGTATCTCCTGTTTCAAAACTGAGTGCTGTGCACATTGAGCTAAGCCAGGCACAGGAATATCATCATTGCATGATTCCCCCGGGGGATCAAATTCGGAGCTGGTGGATGGTTCTGGAGGCTGGAGGAGGAGAATGGGAGTGAGGGTTTAACAGGAACAGGGTTTCAGGTTTCTGCAATGGAAGGAGTTATGGAGGTAGATGGTGATGATGTTTACATGACATTTAAAATGTGCTTAATACCACAGAACTGTGCACGTAGAAGTGGTGATGATAAATTTTATGTTTATCCTGATTAAAGAAACTTGGCAGATCTTAAACTCCATGTTCCTTTGCCTACCCTTCCCTCTCTCTGTTCCCAGCCATGGTAGACTTCTCCCAAAAGACCTATTTAACCCTGGTCGGGCATGGTGGCTTACACCTGTAATCCCAGTACCTCAAGGAGGCTGAGCTAGGCAGATTGCTTGAGCTCAGGAGTTCCAGACCAGCCTGGGCAAGGTGGCTCTACCAAAAATACAAAAAAATTTAGCTGGGTATGACGGTGTGTGACTGTAGTCCCAGCTGCTTGGAAGCTCAGGTCAAGGCTGCAGTGAGCTATGTTCTTACCACTGCACTCCAGCCTGGGTGACTGTATTGGAACATTTTAATATCACTATGAAGAAGTACCCAAGGCTGGGTAGTTTATAAAGAAAAAGACGTTTCGTGAACTCACAGCTCCACACGGCTGGGGAGGCCTCACAGTCACGGCGGAAGGGGAAGGCTGAGCAAGGTCACGTCTTACATGGCGGCAGGCAAGAGAGAGCGTGTGCAGGGAACTGCCCTTCATCAGACCATCAGATCCCTTGAGACTTGCTATCACGAGACCAGCATGGGAAGGACTCGCCCCATGATTCAGTTTCCTCCCACCAGGTCCCTCCCACAACACGTGGGGATTATGGGAGATGAGATTTGGGTGGAAACACAGGCAAAGCATATCAGTGACAATGTGAGACCCTTTCTCAAAAAAGCAAAAACCTTGTTCTGTTCTGTTTCTGTACCTCACTGCCCCCGTATGGAGGCAGGCGGGCCCTCGTGTGGCTTGGGCCAGAGGCCCGGGGGGCCCTGACTTTTCTGTGTCCCTGTGAGCCACACACTCAGTCTGTCAGCAGATCCACGTGGCTCCTCAGACACATCGCAAACCCAGCCTTGTCTCCCCTTCCACTAGCACCTTTGTGGTACCTGCCACCTGTTTTCCTTCTGTGACTATGGTGGCTTCCCGACCTTAAAGTCTGAAGTGCAACAGCCAGGCAGGCATTGTAGGGTTCAGCCATGTCCCTCCCCTCACAGCCGGGCAGAGCCCTTCAGGTGGTCCGTGAAGCCCTGCCTGGGGCAGCAGCAGGACAGAGAGGCTGGGTTCTGTGTCCCAGATTCTAGATTCTTCCTGACCTGGGTGTGGTGAGGAGCTGGCACCACCTCCTTTCCCTCTGCGTCCTTTTCCCTTGCCACCCTGGCCGTCTGGACGTTTGCAGTCCTCTGCCTTGCCCGACCTTCAGCCTGCAGCACCGGGTCCTGCCTCCCTAGCCCACGTCTGATGGGACATTCCCTGGCCCTGCCTCCACTGCGTGTCTTTCCCGGTGTTCCTGCACCCATGCTCACTCAACCAGGTTGTCAGCTCCAGGAGGGCAGAGCCTCTGCCCAGCCCTGGGGTGGCTCAGTGTGTGGGAATGTGTGGGCTCCTGAGTGACCTTGCTGCGTCTCACTGGCCTCTCGCCTGCCTTCCTCACGGCTTAGGTCCTTTCCAGTGCGTGTGCTGTGCAGCCAGAACCAGCCTGCCCCAGGCCCCAGTCCTCGCACCCTGGCCTGCTGGGCTTGTGCCTCAGGACTTTGCTGGACTCCTGGTACTGGAGGCAGTGGCCAGCTGCCCTCATGCTGTCTCCCATGCATGTTCCCTGCCTCTTCACACCTCCCACCTACAATGAGGATGGGGTGGGGACTAACAGGATCCCAGCTAGCATGGACCGGCTTGTGTTGGTCGTCAGATCAAGAGCGTGGCCTGCATTCTCAGTTGGCAGCTGCTGTGTGTGTGGCAGGAACCTGCTGGCGCAGAGCAGGGACTGCGGACTTGGCTGTTTTAGGTGGGGGGGGAGCCTGGTCGTGGCAAGGCACCCAGCAGAGACCCCCGTGGCAGAGCATCCCCCAGCTCTGTGGGGCAGAGAGTGGAGACAAGGACACCGATCTCCTCCTGCCTGGAACTGTGGGAACCCTGAGAGCTCCCTGCAGAGGGCGGCCCCCAGGACAGGCAGGGAGGTGGCTCTGGGATCAGCATGCAGACGCCCACCATCGCTACACCGCCTGGCGTCCTCGGCTGAAGCTGTGGCTGCCCATGTGAGTTCCACCGACGCTTTCTTCTTTTGTTACCAGAGCTGCCACGAAGGCCGCTGCCCGCTCATGCTGACCGAATGCCCCTCGTGCAAAGGCCTGGTCCGCCTCGGTGACAAGGAGCGCCACCTGGAGCATGAGTGCCCGGAGAGAAGCCTGAGCTGCCGGCACTGCCGGGCGCCCTGCTGCGGGGCGGATGTGAAGGTGCGCAGGGCTGGAGCGGCCTGTGGGGCGGCCGCCGTGCGGGGCTGCGCTGAGGTGCTGCATGCGGCCACGGGCTGCCTTGGCTCCTTTGCACGCGTTCCACCCTCAGCCCTTTCCCTGAAGCCGCGGGGATGGATGTTTCTTGGAAGAACTGGGAATGGGTGTCAAGTTAATGCCGAGGTCTTTAAAAAGCATTTTTGTAGGCCAGGCAAGGTGGCTCACACCTGTAATCTCGGCACCTTGGGAGGCTGAGGCGGGCAGATCATGAGATCATGAGTTTGAGACTAGCCTGGCCAACATGGTGAAACCCCGTCTCTACTAAAAATATACCAATCTAGCCAGACGTGGTGGCAGGCACCTCTAATCCTAGCTACTGAGGAGGCTGAGGCAGGAGAATCGCTTGAACCTGGGAGGCCGAGGTTGGCATGAGCTGAGGTTGAGCCACTGCACTCCATCCTGGGCAACAGAATGAGACTCCATCTCAAAAAAAAAATTTTTATTTTTAAAGGCATTTTTGCCGGACACGGTGGCTCATGCCTGTAATCCCAGCACTTTGGGAGGCTGAGGCGGGCGGATCACGAGGTCAGGTGATCAAGACCATCCTGGCCAACGGAGTGAAACCCCGTCTCTACTAAAAATAGAAGAATTAGGTGGGTGTAGTGGCGTGCACCTGTAATACCAGCTACTGGGGAGGCTGAGGCAGGAGAATTGCCTGAACCCAGGAGGCAGAGGTTGCAGTGAGCCGAGATCACACCACTGCACTCCAGCCTGGCATCTGGCCACAGAGTGAGACTCTCAAAAAAAAAAAAAAAAAAAAAAAAAAACACAGCATTTTTGTGTTAGCAAAGCCTAAACGCATCAGGTAGAGAGCCCAGAGGTGTGTGTGTGGCCCTCCTCGCCCGGCCTGGGCGTCACTCCCGCAGACAGTCGCTCAAGCCTGACTCGGTGCTTCCTGAAGAGCTGGTGAGCATGCGCTTCTGTGGTGCACAGAGCTGCGGTGCGGCACCGCGTCTGAGACCGCCGCGATGCTCACGGCTTTCACGCCCGGTCTGCGTCCCTGTTGTCTGTCTTTGCCTTGGCTTGTTTGAACCACGGGCCACACAGCGTTCTTGCCTTTGGTTGAGATGTCTCTGGGTCTCTCTCAGCCTCTGGCGGGCCCCTGTGGCATCTTTTTTCCTGAGCTATTGTCCTTCAGGAACTCCAATTCCCGGACCTGTCTTCAGGCACCAGGTGCTCCTTCCTCCCCACTTCCCTGTAGACTGTGAGGTGGTTAGGCCTGACCGCAGCACATCTGGGGCGCCAGGCCCCCTGCAGTAGCATGTCAGGGTCTGTCTTGGGGACATCCTGCACGCAGCCAGCCCGGCCCATCCACCAGACCCTCCCACCGGACTCCCCATTTTCATGTGGGCTGTTGTTTCACGTGGCCTCTGAGTCTCCTCTGATGGCTTGGGCCTCCCTCACATTGCCCTGGAGCTGCAGAACAAGCAGTGTTAAGCTCTCTGAGGCTCCAGGGCAGTGCTGGCAGGATCCTGCCTGGGCAGAGCGCCGTCTGAGAGTCAAGGGTGACCACGTGCTCCTGCAGCCTGTCGGCGCTGCCCGGCCCGTGCCTGGTGCTGGCGTCCGCCCTCACGCCCCTGACTGCTTCTTTTGAAGGCGCACCATGAGGTCTGCCCCAAGTTCCCCTTGACCTGTGATGGCTGCGGCAAGAAGAAGATCCCCCGGGAGAAGGTGAGTGTCCCTCACACCCTCTGAGGACCATGGGGCGGGGCCCATGAGTTGGCAATGAGGGTCCTGTAGGGTGAGGCTGGGGCAGGTGACGACCTTAGTGCCCACGGGAGCAGCGTGCAAAGCTTCCACAGCGTCTGCTCATGGGCACGTTCAGGGCTGCGGCCGCTCTCCTGGTAGGTTGGTGGCCAGGTGGCTGAGTCCCGAGTCCTCTTCATCCTCCAGTGTATACAGCTGGACTTTTGGGCAAGTCACTTCCCAGTTATCCTGAACATGAAACATGAACGTTCTCATCGACCTCCATGTGCTGCTTCGAGAAATGTTGGTATTGACTTTGAAGCTGAGTGTTTGCAGCAGGCGGTCAGGGTGGAGACAGGTGCCCTAGACTGGTCTGCTGCCACAGCCAGGAAGCGCTGGTGCCTCGGCCGGCAGAACTTCATCCCTGACGTCCTTCCTTCTGGCAGGAAAATGGCTTCTCGCCAAGTTGAGCGTTAGCTGCTGCAGATGACACCTTTAGGAAAGGAAGCTGGGAGATACAGGTGGAGATGTTTTCCCAAAGTGCCTCCCTTGTTGGAGGTGAGGGTAGCTCGTCCAGAGGCTGGAGTTCCAGAAGGGGGTGTGGCATCTGCTCAGTGTGTCAGAGGTCAGAGGTCAGATGCTGAGGCCATGCAGGTGGCCTCCCCGTCTGGGCAGCAGCAGGAGGGCCAGGTGGCTGGGCCTGCCTAGAAGCTCAGCCCCACAGCTGTGTGCCTGTCTTTCTTTCTGGTTTGCTTCCGTTTAATGCAGGTCACAGTCTGAGTTCTGAAATGCATAGGGCGGGGGACGGGGTTCTGTCTCCCCACGTGTTCCCACCTGTCTGTGTGAAGTGTCCCACCCTGGGAACTCAGCCAAGCGCTTCCTGAAAGAGTCCCTGTGTCCTTTCCCCTCGCTGGAGCCTAAAGCTCACGCTAGAGCCTGCTGGCTTTGTCTCTTCAGGAGGCCATGGAGGCTGTGTCTGCTGAGATGCCCCTTCAGGGGCTAGGATGCCTGCCTGGGGCCGGTGTCTACAAGGCTTCGTCCCCTGCTGGTGGGGCCTTGAGGTGGCCCCAAGAGGTGCCCTCTGCCCATGCCTGAGTCTTGGCTGTCCTGAGGGGTGGCACTGAGGAGTCAGGAGGTGATTCTTTCTTTCCTTGAGACTGTTTCCAGAGTGAAAGACGAAAGATGGGCTCCCAAGCAGCGGTGTCTGGTGGGCTCTGTCCCCACCCCAGCACGTGAACACATGGCTTCGCGTGAGCGTGGTGTGTCTTCGCCCATCCCGTCTGGGTTTTGATGTTCACAGAGCCTCATCTTCAGACGGAGGGGCCTTTCAGACTCTCCTGGAGTGAGTCTCTTGGGCCCCGCCTGCCTCCTCAGGGCAGTCCTGTCCAGGCCTGGAGCTCCAGCACTTCGGGAGGCTGAGGCAGGAGGATCATTTGAGGCCAGTTTGAGACCTGACTGCCCAACATGGTGAAACCCCATCTCTGAAAATACAAAAGTTAGCTGCGCACAGTGGTGCATACCTACAGTCCCAGCTACTGGGGAGGCTGAGGTGGGAAAACTGCTTGAGCCTGGGAGGCAGAGGCTGCAGTCAGCTGAGATTGCACCACTGCACTCCAGCTTGGGTGACAGAGCGAGACCCTATCTAAAAAAAAATCAGGGCTGGGTATGGTGGCTCACATCTGTAATCCCAGCATTTTGGGAGGCCAAGGCAGGTGGATCACCTGAGGTCAGGGATTCAAAAGCAGCCTGGCCAACATGGCAGAACCCCATCTCTGCTAAAAATACAAAAGCTGCCAGACATGGTAGTGTAGGTATGCCTGTAAGCCCAGCTACTCGGGAGGCTGAGACAGGAGAATCGCTCAAACCTGGGAGGCAGAGATCACAGTGAGCCAAGACTGCACCAGTGCTGTCTAGCCGGAGTGATGGAGCAAGACTCCGTCCCAAAAAAACGACAAAAGACAAACCAGGAATATGGCTTCTGATGATGAGACCACCTATTTATTTGAAGCTCTTTTTGTTCTTGGAGGTACATCTTACTGAGACGTAGAGTCCAAATACCATGTTCTGAGGTCAGTTGGAATAAATTTTTTCTTTGAGTTTATGTCAAATGTGGTAGACAGTTCATTTGCTTCTGGTCTTTTAAAATGTGAGGTTCTTTTAAAGACTTGCTTTCGTTCTTTGATGACGTATGCTGTTGGCCTGCCATCCGTCAGAGTCAGAGCTGTGCCGAGCACCAGAGCTGCCGCCCTGCAGGCCCCGTCTCATCCTCCCAGCCCCTCCTCTTCATCTTTGCTGGTTTTGCTGGAGCCTTTCGGTGACCACGCTCCCAGGGCTTGGCCAGGCTCCTCAGCGCTGCCTGGGACACGTGCGGGGCTGAGCCAAGTGTGGGGCGGCATGTGTTGGGAGCTGGTCCTCTGGAGGCTGGCCGGGAGGGCTCGCTGGATGGGAGCAGGGAGCCTGGACCTCATGGCTGAACAGCCCAGAAGCCTCGGCGGTCACGGACAGCTCATGTTAGAGAAGGTGTTTGCCCCTTCACGATGGCGCTGGTAGGAACCAGGTGGGCAGTGTTTAGCCTTTCCTGGGGGCACTGGGGATTGTCCACCAACCTCACAGGAACCCTAGGGCATCCTTTATCAGAGGAGGACATTGAGGCTCACAGAGGCCAGGCACCCAGCCGCCTTCTGCCTCTGCAGACCGCCCTGTGTGGGCAGCATGGGGGCTCGTCTTCTCGTTTTCCAGCAGTGCCTGCCCCCGCACCTGCACTCTCCAGGCCCTGCACCCCCATTCCCAGCATGCTGCGCACACGCCGGGTTCCTGGTCTCCTCTTGAACTTCCTGTGACGGAAATTTCTGAGCCTGGACAGAGGAGAGAGATCGCATTAGAACTTGGGGCCCTGCTGCAGCTGGAGATGGGGGCGCCCAGTGCCAGTTCTGTGTCATTCATGCCCCCACTTCGTCCCGCAGCCCAGCGTTTCATTGAAAATACTTGCACGGCAGCAGAGGGATCCTGGCTTTATTTTAAGAGAAAGTACGTTATGGGTTCTCACTGGTGTTTCCATTTCAGATTCTCACCCAGCTTCCTTGTTGCTGTCTCTTCTTTCTGCGGAAAGTCAGAACTCTGGTTGACGTTGCCGTACATAGAACAGTGTCAGTGTTAGCATGGACTGTGTGGTCCTGGCGAGTTAGGTGACAGCCAAGCTCTCGTTCTAGCTCTGTTTGCTTTTAGAGTCCGTACTGAGTTACGATGTCGTAAGTCACCCGAAGCAGCCTCTGGGCAGGCAGCTGTCTCAGTGTGCCACAGAGGCTCATTTGTTTTGTTTTACTTTTGAGTTTTAAAAATTGTTCTCAAAAAAAGAGCAGGTACGGTAGCTCACACCTATAATCCCAGCACTTCGGGAGGCCAAGGTGGTTGGATCACCTGAGGTCAGGAATTTGAGACCAGCCTGGCCACCATGGCAAACCCCATCTCTACTAAAAATATGAAAATTAGCCGAGTGTGGTGGAGCATGCCTGTAGTCCCAGCTACTTGGGAGGCTGAGGCAGGAGAATCGCTTGAACCCGGGAGGCAGAGGTTGCAGTGAGCCGAGATTGTGCCACTGCACTCCAGCCTGGGCGACAGAGAGAGACTCTGTCAAAAAAAAAAAAAACGTTTTGTAGTTTTGTAAAATGGTCACATGGCACCAAAGGAAATGCTACAAACGTGCATTCTGAGACACCAGAGGAATATGTGTCGGGCTCCCTGTCAGCTGTGCTGCGTGGCAGTTCAGAAACTCACATTCCCATGCGTGTTGTGGGAGCACTGTCTCCCCAGACTTGCCAGCAGAGTGTGGTGTGACGTTTGCCAGGGTGATGTGTGCGAAACACACGAGGCCTTTATGTCAGGGGTCCGCAGCCAGGGAGTCAGCCAGCGGTAGATAGAAGTACCCGGGGAGAAATGCTTCTGTTCTGAACACATGCACACGTTTTTTATTTTCACATGCACTCACATTGTATTGTGTCATGAGCAGCCTAGAGCTCATTTAAAGTATAAGGGAGGGTATGCTTAGGTTCTCTGCAGATACTCTGCCATTTTACATCGGGGACTCCAGCATCCTCGGGAGTTCTGGGACCAACCTCCTGTGGATGGCAAGGGACAGCAGAGTCGCAGGCGGTTCTGATGGGCGTTCTCAAGCTGTGGTGTAACCAAGCTCCTCTGTGCTTCTCTTTCTGGGAGAGGTCATCTGTTCATGACTCCTGCCCACTTAATGATGTTTTTGTTTCTTTCTTTGTTTTGTGGGGAACTGTGCAAGCTTCTTACGTTGTGGTTTCTGGAAGCTGATTCATAGTTGGGGCCATTTCCCTGCTCCTGAGCACGTGGGAAACCCTGTGCTGCTTCTGATGTTTGTGGGTTTGATTTTCTCACACACACAGCCGTGACACACCTGCCGTGTCACCTGGGAAATGGAGGAGGGACTTGCGTTTGATGTTTTTCCTTGGGCTGTTCCCTCCTGCTTAGACCCGTGTCAGATGCCACAGTGTTGGGCTGTTTCTTTCCTGCTTTGCTGCCGCCCCGTCGCACATGAATGTCTGTGTGCGCTTGGCCCCTTTCTGGATTTTGCATTTTGCTTCGTGATGTGTGTGTATCATCTTGCACCACCACACACCAGGTGAGCAGTGGCCATTTGATTCTGGGTTTTGACCAGGCCTTGGGGCCTCAGCACCACCTGTCCTGTGGACTGTGATAGAGGACAGGTGCACCATGCGACACAGGCAGGGGTCTCCACATGTGTCCTAAAACACTAACCCATCTCAGTCACCGGCACGGTGTCCGTGTTTGCATGTGCGTGTGCACGGGTGTGTGTATGCGTGTGTCTTTGGAAATGGGTTGTTGGGTTTCATTCAGCGTGAGAGTGAAGAGGCCGACGGGGCGAGTCACATAACCCTCTGTACCTCACTGTGGCCTGTCCGGAGGTGCCGAAATGGGTTAGAACAGAGAAAGATGGCACTGACGTCCTCTCCTTACAGTTTCAGGACCACATCAAGACGTGTGGCAAGTGTCGAGTCCCTTGCAGATTCCATGCCCTCGGCTGCCTCGAGACGGTGAGTCTGGGGGTCTGAGGCTGAGGCCACCCCTCGTCCTGGGTGTGGTCTGCACTGTCTCCAGCCCTGCAATTCCTGGTTTCCTTCCCACTGCTCCTCAGCCTCTGCTGCAGGGCTGCCTCCTCCCGTCCTTGCGTGAGGACCGGGATGCCGTGACGGCGTTTATAGTGGAGTCCGTTGCTGACTCGATTCTGTGAACCTTCGGTATTGGGGTTTTTCCTGATGACGGTGAAGGGACCGTTGCTGCCTCCGTTTTCTTTGTCTGCATTGGACAGTCTCCTGCTCTCGGTGTTCTTGTCTGTTTCCCGCTCAGACCTGGCATCTGCCATCTCCAGGAAGCCGGGGCTTCCCATGCAAGAGGCTGTTTAGAGACCACCCGTGCTTCAGTGGTGCTCGCTGTTGCCACCACCACAGTCCTTGTTTCTGGGCTTCTTGGTGTTGAGATGAGAGAGAACACAGCACCAGTCTGTGGCAGCGTGTCCCATTTGCACAAAGGGTCTCCCCATGCTGGCTCAGCCAGGCCCTGCCTTCTCCACGCCGGCACGGCTCCTGAGAAGACACAGGGAGTACTGTCGTCCGGCTGTCTGTGTCTGTTGAGTGCCTTCTCTGTGGGTAGTTATGCCTCTAGCGGGTACACGTACAGGTCCGTCTGTGTCTTTTACTGTGATTAATCTAGAATGTCTTTTTTATCTTTTTTCTGAGGCTGAGTCTTACTGTCACCCAGGCTGGAGTGTAGTGGCGTGATCTCAGCTCACTGTAGCCTCACAGCCTCCACCTCCCGGGTTCCAGCGATTCTTGTGCCTCAGCCTCCCGAGTAGGTGATGAAAGGCTGGGACTACAGATGCCCGTCACCACACCCGGCTAAGTTTCATATTTTTAGTAGAGATGAGGTTTCACTGTGTTGGCCGGGCTGATCTCGAACTCCTGACCTCAAGTGGTCCTCCCGCCTCGGCCTCCTGAAGTGCTGAGATTACAGACATGACCGAGCCTGGCCTTATTTTTATATTTTGTTGTGAAAATTTGAAAATAATTTAATTGCAAAGTCAGGCCTATAAAATGAGGTATGTTTAAGGAGGCCTAGCTTCCACCCTGTGTTTTCACCTTCCCTCTGTGGGTAGCTTTTTATTTTTATTTTTTTTAATTTTTATTTTTTACTTTATTATCATTATTTATTTCTATTTTTATTTCATGATTAAGGTGTTCTAATATTATTATTATTTTTTTATTAAGACAAGGTTTCACCGTGTTGGCCAGGATGGTCTCGATATCCTGACCTCGTGATCCATCCGCTTCGGCTTCCCAAAGTGCTGGGATTACAGGTGTGAACCACTGTACCCAGCCAATTTATTTTATTTTTTAATTTTTTTGAGATGGAGTCTTGCTCTGTCACCCAGGCTGGAGTGCAGTGGCGCCGTCTTGGCTCACTGCAACCTCTGCCTCCCAGGTTCAAGCAGTTCTCCTGCCTCAGCCTGCGAAGTAGCTGGGACTACAGGTGTGCGCCACCATGCCCGGCTAATTTTTGTAGTTTTAGGAGAGATGGGGTTTCACCATGCTTGCCAGGCTGGTCTCGAACTCCTGACCTTGTGATCTACCCGCCTCAGCCTCCCAAAGTGCTAGGATTACAGATGTGAGCCACGATGCTCAGCCTTATTTTATTTTATTTTTGAGACGGAGTCTTGCTCTGTTACCCAGGCTGGAGTGCAGTGGCACGATCTTGGCTCATTGCAACCTCCACTTCCCAGATTCATTGGATTCTCCTGCCTCAGCCTCCCAAGTAGCTGGGATTACAGGCACGTACCACCAGGCCTGGCTAATTTTTGTATTATTAGTAGAGATGGGGTTTCACCATGTTGTCCAGGCTGGTTTCAAACTCCTGACCTTAGGTGATCCACCCACTTTGGCCTCCCAAAGTGCTGTAATTACAGTGCCCATCCTATTTTGCTATTTATTTATTAAATAGAGTGTTACTCTGTCACCCAGGCTGGAGTGCAGTGGCGCCATCTTGGCTTATTGCCACCTCCCCCTCCTGGGTTCAAGCGATTCTCATGCTTCGGCCTCCTGAGTAGCTGGGATTACAGGCACGCGCCACCACGCCCAGCTAATTTTGTATTTTCAGTAGAGACAGGGCTTCACCATGTTGGCCAGGCTTGTCTGGAACTGGTGGGTGGCTTTTTAAAAAGTGTTGTATTCTTTTTCTTTTTTTTTTTTTTTGGTTTTATTTTCTTCGAAACAGGGTGCGCCGGGCGCGGTGGCTCAAGCCTGTAATCCCAGCACTTTGGGAGGCCGAGGCGGGTGGATCACGAGGTCGAGAGATCGAGACCATCCTGGTCAACATGGTGAAACCCCGTCTCTACTAAAAATACAAAAAATTAGCTGGGCATGGTGGCTCGTGCCTGTAATCCCAGCTACTCAGGAGGCTGAGGCAGGAGAATTGCCTGAACCCAGGAGGCGGAGGTTTCGGTGAGCCGAGATCGCGCCATTGCACTCCAGCCTGGGTAACAAGAGCAAAACTCCGTCTCAAAAAAAAAAAAAAAAAAAGAAAGAAACAGCGTTTCGCTGTGTCAGCCAGGCAGGAGTGCAGTGATATGATTTCAGCTCACTGCAGCCTCAACCTCCTGGGCTCAAGCAATCCTCCCAACTCAGCCTCCTGAGTAGGTGGAATCATTGGCACACACCACCATGCCTGGCTAATATTTTTAAGTGTTTTGTAGACATGGGGTTTTGCCACGTTGGCCCAGCTACTCTCCAACTCCTGGGCCCGAATGATCCTCCCGCTTTGGCCTCCCAAAGTGCTAGAATCACAGTTGCGAGCTACTGTGCCTGGCTGCAGCTAAGTTCCATAACAAGCTTCATATTCGTTAAACATAGCTGACTTTCAGGCTGTCATAGACAAGAAGGCCTTCCAGGCATCCCTGTCTGTGGCTCTGGCCTGTCTCCTCAGTTCAGCTGAGGCCCGTGTCTTGGCGGCTGTCCCCGGGTGGGAGCTGAATGGTGGGTGGAGCCAGCAGCCTCCCTGCCCTGTGTCTGCAGGTGGAGAGCGAGAAGCAGCAGGAGCATGAGGCGCAGTGGCTGCGGGAGCACCTGGCCATGCTACTGAACTCGGTCCTGGAGGCAAAGCCCCTCTCAGGAGACCAGAGCCAGGCGGGGTCAGAGCTCCTGCAGAGGTGTGAGACACTGGAGAAGAAGACAGCCACCTTCGAGAACATCGTCTGTGTCCTGAACCGGGAGGTGGAGAGGGTGGCCCTGACCGTCGAGGCCTGTAGCCGGCAGCACCGGCTGGACCTTGACAGGATTGAAGCGCTGAGCAACAAGGTCTGTGCCCCGTGGGCGGCCAGCCATTAGGAGGACAGTGTAAAGGGGGATGGTGCCTACGCCTCAGCAACTTCTGGCAGGTCCTGGAGCTTTACAGCCTGGACAGCCTAGAACTCCCATCTGCAAACCCCAGTCCAGCGAGGTTTCTATGGGGGGCGAGCCTCCTCTCTCTGATGGAGGACAGAGTCAGCCGTGGGGTGTGCATGGCGTGGCTTCTGAGCACGCTTGCTGTCCAGAGCTGCTGTGTGAACTTGGAGCCCCCACCTGTTCACGGGGTGGGGTTGGGTTCTTGTGGGCAGGGAGCTGACAAGAGGAACACAGAGCCCAGGGTGCCCTGGAGCACAGTCCTGCAGGAGGTGGGTGGGTGTGGGCGGCAGGGGCGCGTGCCTGCACCCTCCTGTAAGAGGGAAGGTGGTCTTGGCACCCGCAGGTGCAGCAGCTGGAGAGGAGCATCGGCCTGAAGGACCTGGCGATGGCCGACCTGGAGCAGAAGGTCTTGGAGATGGAGGCGTCCACCTACGATGGGGTCTTCATCTGGAAGATCTCAGACTTTGCTAGGAAGCGCCAGGAAGCTGTGGCTGGCCGCACACCTGCCATCTTCTCCCCAGGTGTGGTTCTAGCCCCCCCCACCCCACTGCAGCTGCTGTTTACTTGGCACCTGGGTCCCTTCATCCCCAAGACCACATGGGATGGGGCCCAAGGGCGAGGCTGGGATACAACCCCCACTGATACCAGGAGTGGCTGTGCCTCCCTGCGTGGCCAGTGGGCAGCTGAATGTGGGCTGGCCAGTGGGCACCCTTGGGCAGATGTCAGGGTGGGGGTGTTGGGCTGGCTGCCCTCCTGCTGTGCCAGCCCTCAAGGTGTGCCCCTTGTCACCGTCAGCTCTACACTGCAAGCCCCATGTCACCTAAAGCAGACATTACACCAGCAGGCTCTCCTGCCTGACCACAGCTCCCAGGAAGACAGAGGGCGGGTGGGGTCACCACGTGGGTGGCACGAGGTGGGATGTGGCTCTCAGGGACTTGGGGCTGAGCTGGTCTGACCCTTCGCAGGTTCACTTTCCAGCCGCACACAGGAGCTCAGTGAGGCTGTTCCTCATGCTACCTCCTTTTTTTTTTTTTTTTTTTTTTTTGAGACGGAGTTTCACTCTTGTTACCCAGGCTGGAGTGCAATGGCGCGATCTCGGCTCACCACAACCTCCGCCTCCTGGGTTCAGGCAATTCTCCTGCCTCAGCCTCCTGAGTAGCTGGGATTACAGGCACGTGCCACCATGCCCAGCTAATTTTTTGTATTTTTAGTAGAGACGGGGTTTCACCATGTTGACCAGGATGGTCTCGATCTCTCGACCTCGTGATCCACCCGCCTCGGCCTCCCAAAGTGCTGGGATTACAAGCTTGAGCCACCACGCCCGGCCGCCTCCTTTTTTTTTTTAGCCCCAATTACGGGGTCTCTTGAGAGGGTGCTCGTGGGGTCTCCCCTGGAGGGCACTGCTAGAGAGGGATGGGGTGGGGGCTGTCAAAACTATGTTTCCGGGCACTGTGGTCCAGAGGTGGCCCCGCTGCTGTACCTGGAGACCTTCACTGACCTGGTGCCGGCCCAGCCATCATCGCTGCCCCCGCTCAAGCCCTGCCTCCATGCCCTTTGTAGCCATGGCTCAGAACACGCCCTTATGTGGGCTTTATTTTTGCGCTGACTTGTCGAACCTGCTGTTAGAATCTTAGATTCTAGGATCAAGGCTGAGACACTGTAGGTACCTTTCGTGTTTGAATTTAAGCTGGCACTGCTGATGAAGCTCCCTGAGCACCAAGGGCTGAGGTGGTCCTGTGCTCCGGCGCCCTCGAGGTAGAAAGAGACCCAAGTGAGGGGCTGCCATGATCTTCTTCATGGTGCGTCCTGACAAGGCCTTCAGCAGGGGTCAGAAACGAAACTCACACTCTCTTCTCTGAGTTGAGACTGGAAAAATGAAAGATTGTTTTGGGGGACACTCGAGGGCATAGTCTAGGTAGCCTGCAGGACATGGATCTGTTCCTCCAGGGCTGGGAAGGTCAGCACCGCCCTCTGGTGGCCACCTTCCCTCTGCAGCTGCTGGGAGCTCTGAGCGTGGGGTGAAGGGTGAAGGGTTGAGGCCCTGCCACAGTGGCGGTCTTCGAGGGCGCTGCACTTGGGCACGAGGACCTGTTTGTGTAGAACATCTGCTTTAAGGGATGCTGGTGAACACAGCTGGTGTGCGGCATGGCTGTGGAGGGCGGGGAGGATGGCCTGGGGAGGATGGGCTGTGGAGGGCAGGGAGGACGGCCTGGGGAGGATGGGCTGTGGAGGGCAGGGAGGACGGCCTGGGGAGGATGGGCTGTGGAGGGCAGGGAGGACGGCCTGGGGAAGATGGGCTGTGGAGGGCGGGGAGGACGGGCCTAGGGGCTCGGTGCTGCCATGGTGGGATCAGTGTATGGAGCTTTGTGCATGGTGTTCTGTCATGTGACTTAGAAAGCAGCCTCTGCCCCGTTCTGGCTGTCATTTGAATCTCTCTTGTTGGGCGGGAAGGACGTGGACTCTGCTTGTTCTGGGGCTCTCCCCGGCCAGCCCCTCTCCTGAGGCAGGCTTGGGGCCCAGCTTAGACCCTGGGCCGGTCAAGGTTCCCCTCTGCAGCTCTGCCGAGGCTCCAGCCACACTGTTTAGTGGATCTCTCCATGTTGCTCTACTCGCCTTCTTAAGTTTCGGGGGTTACATTTAGGATTCTTAAAAATGCTTTCTCATGGTTCACGCCTGTAATCCCAGCACTATGGGAGGCCAAATCAGGTGGATCACCTGAGGTCAGGAGTTCAAGACCAGCCTGGCTAGCATGGAGGAATCCTGTCTCCTAAAAATATAAAATTCAGCCAGGCATGGCGGCAGGCGCCTGTAGTCCCAGCTACTCAGGAGGCCAAGGCAGGAAATTTGCTTGAGCCCGGGAAGTGGAGGTTCCAGTTAGCTGAGATCGAGCCACTGCTCTCCAGCTTGGGCAACAGAGTGAGACTCTGTCTCAAAAAAAAAAAAAAAAAAGCATTTACTGATTTTTCTGATTACTGAGTGTTTTTCAAAAATGAAATTTGTTTTCATTGGAAACTAACTGCAGAGCTTGAGAACAAACGTTCTTTGCACCCCAGAACCTGAATGTTCCTTCGTGGTGTGGGTGTCCCTTGGGGAGGGCCAGCAGGCAGGAAGAGCCCGCCCCGCCCGTGCTTAGGGTCAGCTGATGGGCCCCTCCCGCCCGCCTCCGCAGCCTTCTACACCAGCAGGTACGGCTACAAGATGTGTCTGCGCATCTACCTGAACGGCGACGGGACCGGGCGCGGGACCCACCTGTCCCTCTTCTTCGTGGTGATGAAGGGCCCCAACGACGCCCTGCTACGATGGCCCTTCAACCAGAAGGTGAGGCCGTCTCCGCGGGCTTCGCCGAGGGCGGGGCAGCTCCTACAGCTCAGGCTTGTGCAGGGCGGGCTGGCTGGGGCTGCTGGTCCAGGCGTCCGCAGCAGGCAGGCCACCCTGTGGTGCCGTGTCACGTGGTGGAGAGTTCTGGTGGTTTCTATCTTTTCCACAGTTTCTGAACACTGGTCTGTGACACAAGCAACTGGCTTCCTGATGTGTCAGATGAATATTACTAAGAAAAAGCACAAGGCCGGGCGTGGGGGCTCCCCCTGTGATCTTAGCACTTTGGGAGGCTGAGGTGGGAGGATGACTTGAGACCAGCCTGGGAAACATAGTGAGACCCCATCTCTACAAAAAAAAAGAAAAATTAGCTAGGCCTGGTGGTGCGACCTGTACTCCCAGCTATTAGGGAGGCTGAGGCCGGAGGACTGCTGGAGCCCAGCGGGTTGAGGCTGCAGTGGGCCGAGATCACACCACTGCACTGCAGCCCGGGCGGCAGAACAAGACTGGTCTCTAAAAAATAAGTGAATGCAAGGACAAAGCACAGAAGGATGGAAGCTGGTGTGCCCAGCCTTAGCCTAGGACGCCAGAGGTCGGAGGGCGTCTGGACCAGCCCTGGAGAGTGCGGAGGAAGGAACACAGCCTCGGGGCTGCCTTCGTCAGGGCTGTGATTTGTTATTTTGAAAATCAGAATCTGTTTTTGGTTGAGGAACTGAAGATCTAGAGACGAGGCCGGAACGGGAAGGCCCTTTCCTTCCACCACACTAGGCCCAGGCTGGCTGCTTCCCCCACCCGCTCCAGCCAGTGGGGTAGGCAGAGCAGAGCTGGGCGAGGGGAGGGACGTGGAGGGCCCGGGGCAGCCGGGTTCACAGGCCCGACAGAGGCAGGCTCAGGCTCTCTGAAAAGGACGCTTAGGGTTAGGTGGGCAGTGGGTGCCTCATGATACCTTTACCGAGAAAACGTCTTTGCCAGCTGTTATTATTTTTTGCTTTTTCCTAATACTAATTCACGTTGAGGATTGGTAAACTGTAGTCTTGAACTGCAGATGTCAGGGGACAGGAAATGCCAGATGGATGCAGGTTCCCCGGAGAGAAGCGTCACGCCCACGGCTGGTGAGCCAGGCGCTGTGCAGGATCGAGGCCGCCCACCACGTGGTCTTGGCTGGGTCCTGGGATGGGCACCTGGGGCCTCCTGCCAGTGGCGCTGCGAGTGTCCAGACCCTCAGGAGCCAGGAGAGGCAGTCTACAACCGTGTCCCTCCCTGGGGCTCTCCTCCAGGTGACCCTGATGCTGCTGGACCAGAACAACCGGGAGCACGTGATTGACGCCTTCAGGCCCGACGTGACCTCATCCTCTTTCCAGAGGCCGGTCAACGACATGAACATCGCAAGTGGCTGCCCCCTCTTCTGCCCCGTCTCCAAGATGGAGGCCAAGAATTCCTACGTGCGGGACGATGCCATCTTCATCAAGGCCATTGTGGACCTGACAGGGCTCTAACTGCCCCCAACTGGTGTCGGGTTTGGGGACAGCCAGGCACAGCTGGCTCACTGAGGGGCCACCATGCTGGGCCAGGGCCTCACTGCACAAGTGGGCAGGGGCCTGGCTTCGGCACTTGGGAGGGTGTTGGTCTGCAGCCAAGTTCACTGTCACGGGGAAGGAGCTACCAGCCAGTCCTCAGATTTCAGAGACTGCATAGAGGGGCCTGGGAGACGGGCTCAGCCCAGGGCCATGCTGGGGCTGGCCAACGGTCTTCTGGTGCTTCTCTTGCTGTCTGTTCTGTGCAGTGAAGGGAGAGGCCCTGGGTGGGGACACTTGGAGCGGAGCACATCCCAGCAGTGCCCACGAAGCAGGAGCACAGTGGCGGCCTTGTGTTGCTCAGGCATGGCAGGCAGAAAGGAGGGGCTGATCCAGGAGAAGGGCCTCCTGCCAGCCAGAGTGAGGAAGGCCATGTGGGCTGGTTCTCCCCTCTGGTCCCTCGAGAGAAGGGAGCATTCCTAGACCCCTAGGTGCTTGTCTGCACAGAGCTCCAGTCTGTGCCACCTTGGCCAGGCTGGCTGTGGGAGAGGGTTGGTCCCACGCTGCCTCTGCTCAGACCATGGTATGGGGGTGTGCAGCACGGCTGTGGGTGCTGAGAGCACTCCGTCCAGCTCACGAGACACAGTTATTAAACCATTCAGATCTCTGCTCAGTGGCGTCCAGTTGGTTCCAGGTTGCCTGCAGCTTCCAGTCCTGGCAGTGGTCACCCTCTGGGGGTCCTCCTGGCCTCCTCTCCTCCCACGCACCCCTCCCCACAGGGTGCCTGGCCGTTGGCTGCTTTTCTAGCCAGCCAGGCTGTTCTGTTTCTTACCTACTGTAAGCTCTCTCTTCTTGAGCTTTGGTGAAGCCCAGTGTTCCCTCTTGTGAGATATTCTTCCCTGCCCGTCTCCTCTCCTGGGCTTTCCCAGGGACTCCTGTGAGAGCAGGGCGAGGAGGAGCTGGCCCGGGTTCTCTGCACAGGCCGTGCCGCCCTGGGGTGTGCTCTCGGGACTGAGAGGAGGCCGGTGTAGGCAAGGCTCCGCTCTTGGGGTCAGGGCAGCCGTGCTGGGGCCTGCTTGGCGTCTGTATCGGGTCCAGGGTAAAGTGTGGGCACGTCTTGACATCCTCTCACACTGCTGTCGTTTGAGAAGTTAAGACCATAAAAATAAAGGAAATAACTCGGGCACGGGAACTGACAGGTATTATCTGTGTTCCCTGTGCGTGTACTGGACGGAACGAAGCATCTCAGAGCCCATCCCCTGCTGTTCCCTTTCCCAGCCTCACCTCAGCTCCCTAGGGCCACTTGGCACCAACCGTGACGTTCCAGTTCTCCGGCTTTAGAATTTGGCATCTGTGTGTTTCTGTACCCACAAATAAGACTATTGCATTTAAAACGCAGGAACTATCCACTGGGTCCTCTGCAGGTAGCTGGGTCTCTTATTCAGCCTGGCTGGGTTTGGTTTTGTTTTTGAGATGGAGTTTCACTCTTGTCACCCAGGCTGGAGTGCAATGGCACAGTCTCGGCTCACTGCAACCTCCACCTCCTGGGTTCAAGTGATTATGCCTCAGCTTCCCGAGAAGCTGGGATTACAGGCACCTGCCATCACGCCCGCCTGATTTTTGTATTTTTAGTAGAGACTGTGTTTAACTATGTTGCCCAGGTTGGTCTTGAACTCGTGACCTCAAGTGATCCCCGTGCCTCAGTCTCCCCAAATGCTGGGATTACAGGCATGAGCCACCACGCCCGGCCCAGCCTAGCTGGTTTTAATGCCTCATGTGCTGGGCACTCTGCATGGCAGATTCTGACTGCCATGTGTGAGCTCCCTAGAGAGCACCTCCCCGTCTTTTCTTCTGTGTCTTGAGTGTTTGGCAACTGTAGACCCCCAGACAGACCCACTCTGGGTCTCCTGTCAGCCTGGAAGGAGAGCTGGTGGTTTCTAGGCCTTCCCGTTTGAGCAGTTAGTGGCCAGCTTGCCTTACAGAGGGGCGGCACCCTGTCCTTCCACCAGCACGAGGCGAGGGTTCCCATTGTCTCCCGTCCCTGCCACGCTTTGGTGCGGGAATGGAGGAGATGCTGCCTTCTGGTGTGTGAAGGGGCTTCTCAGGAACGGGTGCTTCTCTGATGGCTCAGTGGCGTCGGGCGTCTGCCCCGCTCACTGCTCTCTGGGACTGCCTCCCATGTGAATTGCCTGTTGATGTCTTTTTCTTATTTTGTTTCTGGTTGTTGGTCTGGGCCTTATTCTACCGGTTGATAGGAGTTCCTAATACTCCTGACTAGAGTCTCAGTTGTGTGTTTGAACTGTGTCTGCTCCTGATGTGCAGAAGCTTAAACCTAAGGCATGGTCCGTCGGTCTTACCCTCTGTGAGTGGAGCTGTTTCTGACCGACTCAGAACATCCTGACCTCCCTGAGGCTGAAAAACACTGTCATGTTTTCTTCTAATGATTTTGAGGTTTTATCTGTGATGTGGGGGGCTTCTGTATTTGGACATTTGTTTGTGCATGACAGGTTTTACTAGGTTGTTGCAGTTTGTTGAAGCAGATAGATTCAGGTCATCTCTTCTCCATTAAAACAAAATGGAGCTGTGACATGAGAGGAACAGGACCAAAAAAAGTCCTCCCCAGGGACAAAGACAGGGAAGAAGCCAACATCCACAGGATTTCAACCCCTTCTGGATGGTGGGAAGTGGGTTGGTGGGTGGCTCTGAGCAGAAGAGGGCTGAGGGGGAGGCTCGCTACCCTGGGAGGCCCTGGCACGGAGCAGAGTCTGAGCTAAAAGTGGATCAGCTCAGAGACCAGGCAGAGCCGCTACCTTGCAGGTCCTTTGCCTGCCAGAGCAGCCGGGTGGTCCTCCCAGCCCTCACCTCCCTGCAGTGGAAAGGGAGGTCTGGAAAAGTGGGGGAAGAGCTGAGGGTTGTGCCCCAACGCCGTCAGAGCAGTGTCGGGCTCCAGGCCGAGGCAGGGGCGGGCGCCTGCACTGAACAACTCCCCAGGTGCAGACGCTCCCAGGAAACAGACCAAGGCCCTGGAGGGACAGGCGCTTTGGAGCTGACCCGCGGGCAGGCCTGGCGCAGCCGCCTCGTGGCCTTCCGGGGAAGTGCCAGGCTCTATGCAAACCCACAGAGGTGCCACCGTCACCATCTAATTTTAGGAGGTTTCATCCCCCTGCAGAGAAACCTTCCCACAAACCTGCTTCTGTCTCTGGGCTTGCCTGATGAGGACACGGATGGGAGTAGAACCCTGCAGCTTGCGGCCTGTGCTGTTCCTCAGCAGGATGCTGACAAGCTTCGTCTGTGTCACTGCGGGTCGGAATTTCATTCCTTTATGTGGCCGGGGGATGGACCTCATCTTCTTTATCCGTTCACCAGGTGATGGACATGGGCGGTTTCTGATTTATGGCTACTCTGAAGATGCTGTTGTGAACATCTGTGTACGAGTTGTTGTGGGGACGCATACTTGTTTTCGTTTCTCTTGAATATTCATACCTGGGAGTAGAACTGCTGGACCATGAGTTCAGCTTTTGGAGGATTGCCAGACACCCCCTCGGTGGTTGTGTCACTTCACAGCTCTCTCGGGAAGTGCTTTTATTTTTTGATTTTCGTTTTTCGAGATGGAGTCTCGCTTTGTCTCCCAGGCTGCAGTGCAGTGGTGCAGTCTTGGCTCACTGCAACCTCAGCCTCCCGAGTAGCCAGGATTACAAGCGTGCACTGCCACGCCTGGCTCATTTTTGTGTTTTTAGTGCAGATGGGGTTTCTCCGTGTTGGCCAGGATGGTCTCGAATCCTGACCTCAAGTGTTCCTCCCACCTCAGCCTCCCAGAGTGCTGGGATTACAGGCATGAGCTGCTGCACTAGCTCCTAGTAACATTTTAAAATTTCATAGTAAAATTGATTTGTTCTTTTGTTATGAATGTTCACACCTGTGCAGATTTGGATAAGCACCGCAATAACCAGGAGACAGGCTTGCCCTGCCGTCTCAGAAGTCCATCCTCCCCGACTTCCACCTCAAGACCGTTCTCCCCCAGCTCAGGCTGGAGTGAGATGGCGTGATCTTGGCTCAGTGCAACCTCCACCTCCCAGGTTCAAGTGATTCTTCTGCCTCAGCCTCGCAAGTAGCTGGGATTATAGACGCCTGCCACCACGCCCAGTTAATTTTTGTGTTTTTAGTAGAGGTAGGGTTTCACCGTATTGGCAAGGCTGATCTTGAACTCCTGACCTCATGATCTGCCTGCCTCAGCCTCCCAAAGTGTTGGGATTTCAGGCGTGAGCCACTGCGCCCCGCCACTCAGAAATGAAGAAAAAGGTACTAGAAACCGGAGGAAAGACCGTACTAGTTGAAAGTGGCAGAGAACATGGCTGTTGTGTGTTCGTGCCCAGTCCTTCCTTTGTGGAAGGGACTGGGCTGTCTGGCTAAAGAAATATTCAGGGTGTGGCATGTCTTCTAACTGCATAAAGTAAGATGTGAGACGAGAGAAATGATTGAAAGATGGAATTTATCATTAACAGGGAAAGAACTTAGGGATCTTAAGGCTTTTCAGTCTGGCCATTGAAAGAGTAATGAGGTGTCTTTAGGAGAACAGACCAGGAGTGTGGCGAGCAGCTTTTGACAAGGAGCTTATTGTGGACAGGATGAAGCCAGAGGCTGCAAACCAGGACAAAGGGAAAATGACCCCAGAGGTGTTTCAGACTCCTGGCCCTGCTTCTTCCCCCACGAGCCTGGCGCACCAAGGCCTTTGGGAGGGAAATCTGTCAAAAGAGAGGTGTAGGGTGCCCTGAGGACCTTAGAGCCTGCTGGCCAGGGCCACCCCGAGTCTGCTCTCTACACTCCAGGGCAGGCCCTTTAAGCCGCTCCAGCCTGTCTCAAGTGGCCCCGAGGAAAGTACCATCAGAGCCTTGGTTGGGTCCACGTGGTGCTGGTTCTGCAGGGACGTGCTTCCTCCACTGGGTGTCACAGGATGTCACAGACAGCCAGGGCCCACGTGGAGACTTGCAGAGCCATGGCAGAGAGCCCACATAGGCAATACGTGGTAGGGCCTTGGGGATAAGGCCACCCTGAGACCCCAGAACTGCAGAGCCTCCAGTGTTCATTGCCAGCCTGGGAGAGCTGCGGGCTTGAGACTCCAACCTGCTGGAGCAGCGTGAGGGCTGAGCCCAGCACAGCTTTAGGGCTGAGATTACCAAGAGCCTGGAGGGCTCCTCCGCACCCCACTGTGTGTACAAGGCAGGATCTGGAGTCAAAGAAGATGATTGTCAGGCCTTAGGATTTAGTAGTATTCTCCCAGCTGGCGTTTAGACGTGCTCGGGGCTTGTTACTCCTTTCCTCTTTACAGTTTATCCCCTTTGAAATGCCTGCCCTGCACTGTGTTTGGAAGCATGTAGCTCGCTCAGTTTCACAGGCTCACAGTGGAGGGAAGCTGCCTCCACTTGGGATGAATCACGCCTTGAGTCTCACCCATGTCTGATGTAGATGAGTCTCTGGGCTTGGACTTTGAATTGATGTTAGAATTAGTTAAGACTTTGGGAGCCATTGGGATGGAATGAGTATATTTTGTATGTGAAAAGAACATGGGCCAGGCATGGTGGCTCATGCCTGTAATCCCAGCACTTTAGGAGGCCGAGGCAGGCGGATCACCTGAGGTCGGGAGTTTGAGACCAGCCCGACCAACATGGAAAAACCCTGTCTCTACTAAAAATACAAAATTAGCCTGGCATGGCCACGCCCACCTGTAATCCCAACTACTACGGAGGCTGAGGCAGGAGAATCGCTTGAACCCAGGAGGCAGAGGTTGCGGTGAGTGGAGCTGGCGCCACTGCACTCCAGCCTGGGAGACAAGAGGGAAACTCTGTCTCAAAACAAAAGAAAAAGAAAAAGAACCTGGTTGGTTGGCGGGCAGGGATGGAATGCTGTGGCCCAATGTTCGTACCTCCCAAACTCACGTCAGTATTTCAGTGTCATTGTAACGGTATTAAGAGGTGGGACCGGCCGGGTGTGGTGGCTCACACCTGTAATCCCAGCACTTTGGGAGGCCCAGGCAGGTGGATTACAAGGTCAAGAGATCGAGACCATCCTGGTCAACATGGTGAAACCCCATCTCTACTAAAAATCCAAAAATTAGCTGGGCATGGTGGCACATGCCTGTAGTCCCAGCTACTTGGGAGGCTGAGGCTGGAGTATTGTTTAAACACAGGAGGCAGA